TAATCCATTACATTACACATTTTAGGTAATATAATCAGACTACATTTAGATTACTTTTAGATTACTTTTGAGCTTTCTCGTTAATCACATTGATTTAAATAGGATTATCTTGTACCATATTGATCAAAATGCAAAGATTAAGAAAATATATTCCATTCTTTGTTATTAGCAACATGGAGTGTATTAAACATTACATTACATCAGGGTTTCCCAAACTGGGGTTTGTGAAAGAACTGCAGTGTAGGGAGTTTAATAAAAAGCTAATAATGAATTAAATCCTAAAAATATTAAATTAAAATAAATATTTTTAAAATAAATCTAAATAAAACAAGTACTAAAAAAACGAAATATTTTATTGGTTTACCTGCATGTCATGTGACCATAACCAACATCAGAGAGCCACGAATATGCAAATGTGATACTTCATTATTAAAATATTTATTTTAAAGTCTCAGGGGTACTTCAAGTGAATATATTAGATGAAAGAGGATCAGATGACAAAAGTGTTTGTGAATTTATGGATTTTAATTTAATCATTTTTAAGTTATTTTAATGTGTTTGAAAGACAAAAGCCTTCCAAAGATATAGAAATACATGGTTAAATAACCTACTGAGTGGTAGGTTCTTCTTAAACCTGAAATGATTTTTATAAATCCAGTGGTCAAATGCCGTCTTCCACGGAACTGGAAGACTTTCTGAGTATATATAAGCAGTAAGCTCTTTTAGAAAGGAAAATTTAAAAGATGAAAGGGAGAATTAGGGAGAATCAATAAATTATGAATAATTTATTGCTATTGTGTAAATAATATGTAATCATGTAATCCAACTGTAGTCTGATGACGAGTATTTTAACTGGTCCTCTTGGTTTAGGGGTCACACTTGGCTCCTTCGCGGTTCAGACGATATTATTGCTCTCTGCCGTTGTTATAGTTGTGATGTGGACTTCCCAATTATTAAAACTTTATAGTTATCATTGCATTTATCGTCCTCAGTGTGAACAGGTCCTACTCTTCCTGCTCTTGTGGCAGCATTCAAAATGTAACTCCTTTCTAGCTTATGTTCACGAACTTGCATAGAGTCTGTATGTTTTAGACCTTAATGTATTGAAACTCTTCATCTTTAGAATATTATCTGTAGAATCTGTTATCTTAGAATATTAAATCCCTCCCCATCCTTTACTAATCCCCGTTTGATTAATTCCATGGCATGCAAGTCAATGTTTAAGCATCCTAGCTTGGCACCTTCGTACAAACTAATTTGTTGTTGCCACATGTGCTTTAACCCTCGTTTCTATGTGAAGTTCATTTTGATTGTATTTTGTTTATTTTTACAGTGGATCCCTCCCAAGTCCCGATCCCAGTCAAGCGATCTCCTCCCATTCCCCCAAAGAGGATGACTCCTATGACCAAGCGCCACTCAGACGACTCTTCGGCCAATCACCCTGAGCCTCCGCCCCCAGGCCCCGCCTCCGTTCTGGGCCCAGCCCCAGCAGAGCCACGAATATGCAAATGTGATACTTCATTATTAAAATATTTATTTGAAAGTCTCAGGGGTACTTCAAGTGAATATATTAGATGAAAGAGGATCAGATGACAAAAGTGTTTGTGAATTTATGGATTTTAATTTAATCATTTTTAAGTTATTTTAATGTGTTTGAAAGACAAAAGCCTTCCAAAGATATAGAAATACATGGTTAAATAACCTACTGAGTGGTAGGTTCTTCTTAAACCTGAAATGATTTTTATAAATCCAGTGGTCAAATGCCGTCTTCCACGGAACTGGAAGACTTTCTGAGTATATATAAGCAGTAAGCTCTTTTAGAAAGGAAAATTTAAAAGATGAAAGGGAGAATTAGGGAGAATCAATAAATTATGAATAATTTATTGCTATTGTGTAAATAATATGTAATCATGTAATCCAACTGTAGTCTGATGACGAGTATTTTAACTGGTCCTCTTGGTTTAGGGGTCACACTTGGCTCCTTCGCGGTCAAAAGTGACCGAAGCCTTGAAATGTTTTTTTTGTTTGTTTTTTCCAGGAAAATCAGTGTAATACTTTTTTGTTTAATAATATGTTTTGATTATTATTTAGAATTTTGAGGGGATTTTATGATACTATGCAATATTTATACAATTTTAATGAGCTATTTTATCCATTAGAATTAATATATTTTTTATTTATTTGAAAGTCTCAGGGGTACTTCAAGTGAATATATTAGATGAAAGGATCAGATGACAAAAGTGTTTGTGAATTTATGGATTTTAATTTAAAAGTAGTTAATACTTTTGTTCAGCAAAGACGGATTCAGGATTCAGATTCAATCAGAAGTGACATTACGTTACAAAAGATTTCTATTTCAAATAAATGCTGTTCTTCTGAACTTTCTGTTCATCAAAATAATCCAGTAAAAATATGTCTAATTTTTTCAGAAAAATAGCAGCACAACTATTGTGAGATAATCAGAAATGTTTCTTGAGCAGTAAATCAGCATATTAGAATGATTTCTGAAGGATCGTGTGACACTGAAGACTGGAGTAATGATCAATTCAGCTTTGTAGTCTTACCAGTTCATGTCTGTGTCTGTGTGTGCGTGTGCGCGTACGCGTGTGCGTCTATTTTGTACTCTTGATATTTTAGAGAGTCACCCCTTGATTGCTGTGCGCTTTTGTTCTGCACAGTGGCTGATTTGTAGTTTGTACCACTAAAAGATTCTCTGAGTTTTCGTATTTCCCATTCATTTCCTATGTCTGTGTGTGTGTGACTTTTTATTTTATTTTTTACCCTTTAACATATACAAATCATGTCCATGATTGGTTTTTTTTGGTGTGTGTTCACATAGCTAATGTGACAAAAGTCTCCAAGTGTCATCTCATTCCGATGAAGCCACGATTTTTTACATTTCGAAATATACATTTTTTCGGTCAAAAATGACCGAAGAGGCCCAGAGGGTTAAAATGTAATCTAATCTAATTACAAATGCTTAATTTTTGGAATCTGATTACGTAATCCAGATAACAGTCAAGATAATCAGTTACTACCCAGATCTGTGTGTACTATAATATATATATATATATATATTAAACTTAAAGGAATAGTTCACATTCATATGTTCACTGTGGCTATATGATTGTGTATTGTTTAGGCCTGAGGATGATGATTTTGACATTGAAGAAGAGCTGCAGAAGCTGCGGCCCGCCCCTCGGCCCACACTCCAGCTGGAGCCGCGCAGCCGCCGCGGTCTGGTGGGAGACCCACGGGTCACTGTCATTCCTGAGGACGCGGGGCATGGGAACAGCGACGACGAGGAGAGCGAAGAGAGCGATTCTGATGGACCCATCAATTACAGAGATGATGATGAAGAAGATGACGATGAGGAGGATGTTCCCACAAGTATGATCCTTTAATTCTGTCTGACCAACCGTATTGAGGAATATTGTACCTGTCCTGCATTAATAAGTGCATAAAAAAATCTTTGTAACGGTCTCCACTTTAAAACATGGAACTGGTGAATATGGTGTTAAAACTCTAATTGCCTTTGTTAGAAATTACTATGCAAAATGTTGGGGTCAGTATACTATATATATATATATATATATATATATTTTTTTTTTTTTTTTTTTTTT